CCGCATGTGTCGCAGGTCACAGACTTTGGTCTCCTGAAGCGAGCGCCGGAGCGACTAGGCTGTGGTTCGTTGCTGGCATCCAGTTCTTGAAGCTGTAAGTCTTTGAAGGTGTCCTGGGCATGATTCGAACTCTGGCTGAGGACCACAGCTACGCAAATGCTACGCTGAGGATCACACTTGAGCTGCTCGGTTGTATTGCTCCTGTGCACATGGCACTTGACTGCTGACTGGCAGGAACCCCTGTACAAGTTCACTTCAGAAGAACCCCTAATCCTTGACCCCAAAACCTGCATCCCTAAATCCCTACGGTTGATGCTGGATCCTGGATAACTTATACTTTGCCATGATACTGTATTCTCCGAGGTTCAGAGTACTTGGGGTCACGCAGGATTCTTGGTATCAACCAGATGTCCATACACCCCTAAGCCCACCCTAAACCCTAAACCCTAAACCCTAAACCCTGAGTCCCCTAAAGCCTGAACCCCTATGAGCTCCGGAGTCATGTCCGGCGTCCACGCAGGTGGCTTGGGCAGGAGCCGACGGCCAGATTCCTTGCGGGTACGGGGTCATATAGGGACCATATAGGGTTAGGGTTTAGGGTTATATGAGCCATAGTCTAAACTCCTAGTATCCCCCTTAATAACCCCTATAGTAGTCCCCCATATAACCCCCTATATAAACCCCTTTAAGGAGTTTAGACTATGGCTCATATGGGAGTATATAAGGGTCAGGGATGCTACCCCAACTATCACATGGAAAAGAACATCGAGCATGGAATGGAAGCTGGTGGTTATAGGGGCTGAAAAACTTACCTCTTAGTTGGGAATGAAGGAAGGGAACATGGAAACTGCTCCATTATTAGATCTCATTAGGGCTTCTGTAATGATCCATTCCTCCATTCCCTGGTAACATAGTAGTTGCCATGACTAGGGGGAACCCAATATAGTATCCTTATTCCAGGGACTATTATGACCCCCAGCAGGGACCCCTAAATCGGGGAAACCCCAACATCACCCACATCTCTGTACTAACAATGAGCAAGCTTCCTTCCTTGCCTCTTGCATCTGCCATTTCTGCTGGCAATATTGAACATGTATGTCCTCAGCGAGGAATCAAGAAGAAAGGCATTTGCGGTTTCGATGAATCACTTGGCATCCCAAGATTCGGACAAGGGAAAAGCTGAAGCAACCTTTTTGACAATTCCCAACTTGCCCCTACAGTCCCTAAACCTCTTCAACCCCCGAACGTCAACTCCATAGAGCCCCAAGCCCTACACCCTGTACCCTGATCCCTAAGCCCTGACCCATAAACCCTGAACCCTGAACCCTAAACCCGGAAACCTAAACCCTAAATCCCTAAACCCTGAACCCTATAAACCCCTAAACCCTCAACCCTAAACCCCCTAAAAGCTCACCAGATCCTACAATCTGAGGCCCGGTCCAGGGACTTGCTACCAAAGCTGGCTCCACAAAGGTGGCAGACCAAATGAAAGGGCATCTGTACCTGGCTTAGGATTTAGGGTTTAGGGTTTAGGGGTTTAGGGTTTAGGATTTAGGGTTTAAGGGTTTAGGATTTAGGGTCTAGGATTTAGGGTTACCTGGTCGAATCCGTAATCCTAATCCCTAAATCTTAATATACACCCATTATTGTAGTTTCCATTCTTCCCATTATCCCTGTATGACCCCATTAGAATTACCTGGAATTAGGGGTTAGGAAAGTTGAGGGCTTGGAGCAACTTTTTGTTGGAGTATCTGAAGGCGCTTTTGTTTCCGACTTCAGATCAACTTCCCAAAACGATGGGATTTCTTTTAGTAGACGGCTCGTCATCTCGCCGTACAAGAACATGGAGGGGCGTCAAAGTTGTGGTCTTTTTTGACGGTTAGGGCTGGGTGGTTTAGGGTTAAGGGAGGCCCCTAAATTGTTGCATGGCCTCAGCTATCTAGGGCACTCAAAAAGCGACCATCATTTTGACAAGCTACCCTATCAAAACTTCCCAAAGCTCTACATATCCGTAGATAATCTCTATAGTAAAAACCCCGACAAACCTCAAACCCTTCCTAAAAGCCCAATACCCTAAAACCCTAGACCCTGCCCAGGTCAGCTGCAGTCAACATTTTCCACATAATTAGTTGACATGAATTTGGCCCCTTGGTTACTCTAACGCTGACAGTAGTTCATATGAACCCCCCACATAACCCCAGCTCACATTCGATGTCCATTTTCTTGTCCATTTGATTCTCCGCTGCTGGGGTAATATTCCCCTTTAAACTATAAATCCTAAACTCAATAAAACCCTCTAATACTGCCTGTATGTCCCCAAAATAATGCATATATGTAAACTACACACATATCACATATCTATATACATACTGTGGATGGAGGAAATCTTGCACCGCTTTTACAACATAGATTTCTTACAGCCCCGTGCCCCCTTCTTAACATTGGCATTGAAAACCTCCAAAAATAGATTTGTTCCAATGACGGAAATCTTGGAAATCTTGCACCGCCTCAGACAGAACAGTTGCCAATGTTAAAAAGGGGGTACGGGAATGCATCGTCAAGTCATAGAAGATGCCTATTATGTAGGTGGTGCAAGATTTCCTCCATCCACAGTCCCTTATACGGGGTTCAGCCCTCAGACAAGAGACTCAAGTAGGTCACAATAACGACCCAGACGGTAGTGGTGAACTCTGCGACCTCACTCGGAA